ATTTGAACCATAGTCAGCCATGTGGGAATCCAGTGCTTTAAACACCATGCCACCTGCTGGCCCCTCTGTTTAATTTTTTTTTTAACCTGACAATACCAAATGTTAAGGAGGACTGAAACTGTCAGATACTGCGAGTACACATATAAAAATGGCCAGGGTACTTGGGGGAACTGTTTGCCAGTTCGTCATAAACTTCAATATCTCATCAGAGGCCAGCAATTCTGTATCCCTCGTCCCCAAGAGAAATCAAAACTTAGGTCCACGAATTACTCATACAAGAATTTTTGTAGTGTCTTGTACGTAATAACCAAAACCAAAACCCAATCGAAATATTTATCAACGGGTGAGTGAATAAAATAACTGAAATACCACTCATTGGGAAAAAAGCCAGAAAAGCTAAAATGAACATTGATACATGTGGCAAGATGGGTGAATCTCAGGACAATGCTAGGGAAAAGAAGTGAGACTGAAAAAAAAGAGAGAGAGAGAGAGAGAGAGCATGCACTTTTCAGTTCTACTTATAGAACATTCTAGAATAGCCAAGAGCAACCTATACTGACAGGAATCCAAGTCAGCTCATGGTTCCCTGAGGTGGGGAGGGGATTGGCTGCCAGGAGTACGACGGGACCTTTGGGGTGAGGGGAAGTTTCTATATTTTGGTCTGGGTGATGGCTCCATTGGTGTATACGTGTGTCCAAACCCGTTGAAATGACACCTCAACTCAAAAGTGGAACTTCGTTGTTAGGGGTGCTGAATCGGGGCTGCACAGCCCAGAGAGCTTCACGTCAACCGCTCTCACGGCTCCTGTGCCTGGCCTGGCTGGCTCTTCTCACTGCTGGAGTTCACGTTTCTGGGGCTCCTCTAGGCCTCCAGGAGGGGAGACTCTCGACCAATGGTTTCTGTGTTGCTTTCCGTTGTGTCTGCAAAGCTTCCCACAGCCCTGGCACGGTGTGCGCTTGGGGGAAGGCTTGTGAGTGAACAGGCCAGGCACAGCTGGGTCCGAATCAGAGCCCCCTGAGCAGTCCAGGGCTCCTTCCCTCTCCTGGGTGATGAGAGTCCAGGTCGGGGCTCCAGTCCCGCTTGTTCTGGGGAGCTGTCTCAACCCGCCCTGCATGCGTTCCTCACTAGGGTGCGAATGAACCAGACTGACTGTTCTGTAAGGACAAATGCCGGGTTGGGAACTCCCTTCCCCCAGGCATGCCCTGACCTTTGTTGAGCAGGAATTTTTGTTTAAGATAAAGACCCATGGGGACCAGCAGGGGGCGTGGTGGTTAAGGCACTGGATTCCACAGGGCTGACTGCTCCAGCAGAGTCCCGGATTCTGTGGCTTTGAAAACAAAACGGTGTGTGTGTGTGTGTGTGTGTGTGTGTGTGTGCACCCAAAACCCCAAGAGGATAATGGAGGAGAAGGGATTGCAGTGTGGCCCACCCACCTGGGGAAGCTCACTTTCTATCTTTGTCTCTCAGGCAAGTACACGTGCCCTATGGCAAAAATCTAAAAAACAACCCTAAACAGTTCTGTGCCCCTCGCTGATGCTGCAGGTCTTTGTTAGGAAAAGAGGAATACTTTCCAGAACCTAGGGGCAGTCCTGTCTCCAAACCAGGCGATTTCTTCCCCACCCCTGCTTCTATCATTTAGCTCTTTTGTGTACCCTTTAAAAACTCAGCTTGGGGCCAGCAGGGGGCCGGTGGTTAAGGCATTGCATTCCCACAGGGCTGATCTGGGTTCCAGTCCCAAGACTGGAGGACTCAAAACTCATGCTGGGCACATTGCTTGCCTAAAATCCCAGGAGAATGGAGAAGGGACTTCCGAGGGGGCGGGGGTGATTTCTCACTTTTCCTCTCACTGTCTCTCTCCAGCAAGCTCATGCACCCTATGACTAAACACCTTTAAAAAATTTTAGGGACTGGCAGGAGATGTGGTGATTAGGGGCCCCGGACTCCCACGTGACCGACTACAGTTCAAGTCCTAGACCTGGTGGCTTGCTTTCTTGCTTTCTCACTCTCTCTTTCTCTCTCTCTCTCTGGTCAAATTAAAATAAATAAAGTTAAATAAAATAATTTTTTTAAAAATTCAGATAAAAACTTCATTTTGCAGGGCCAGCAGGTGGCATGGAGGTTAAAATGCTGAATCCTCCATGGCCAACTACGAAGTCTAAGTCCCAGACCTGGTGGCTTAAAAATCACACCCAGTGTGTGCCTGCACAACCAAAACCCCAGGGGGAGAATAGAGGAGAAGAAATTGTGGTTCCCTCTCCCCCTTTCTCTCTCCAGTGAGGACACACACCATTTGGCAAAAGAAATCTAAGCAAAAACACAAAACACGAGCTTGCTTCAAGACCCTGTAGAGTGTCCACTGCAGGGGTGGTTGCCTCCTTTTCAGTCTCAAAGCTCCTTCTCTGCAGGGGCCGCTCTGCAGCATTGCTGGCCTCTAAGGGCAAGGGCACAATGGCGCCGTGGGGAGCAATGAGGGTACGTTAGTGTTGGCCCATGTTACGGAGAGACATGGTGGGTGGCATGATCCCCGAGGACTGGACTTTCCATCACCTGTGAGAAAACCCCGAGGTTCGTTTAACAAAATCTAGTCTGGAACCTCCTTAGCTGCAGGGAGGGCAGTCTCCCCGGCCCAGCAGAGCTAGCGGTTAAGCTCTGGCCCCATCAGCCTGATTATATGCTCCTCTCTGGCCATTTCCTTCTATGGATAACATCCTGTTTAGCTGTCCCCTCCAGGCTCAGCTGTGCTGCGGGGAATTAGGGAACGGCCATTTGTCCCTGGGGCCTGGTGTGGTGGTTATGGTTTCCAACGGGAAAGTCAGCGAAGCAGTGAGAGAGCTCAGTGTGGTGGCTGGTGTGGGGACGTTCTTCCTGGAGACTCTGGAGCAATCGCCAAGGCTGGACAAGCAGCCCTCAGTGCTCCCCCTCGTCCACATGCCCATGGGGCTCCACTCGGACCACTGAAATCTGTTAGCAAGCCTGCCACGATGGGCTCACGTTACACATCCCCACACCCAGCCTTTCTGCCTAGAACCTGAGCTCACTGCAGCCTCTTCTATGCTATGGCTCTTTTTGTTTAAGAATTGTTTTATGTAACCTTATTTATTAATTTTAAATATATATACATATTTAATTTTATTTATTTATTCATTTATTTTTATTTGGCCAGATAGAGAGAGAGACGGGGTGGGGGGAGTGAGAAAGCGAGGACTCGAACCGTGTTTGGCCACGTGGGAGTGTCCAGTGCCTTAAACCACCACGCCACCTGCTGGCCCCATTTTATTTATTCATTTTTAATTTGACCAGAGAGGGACAGAGCGAGAGAGTGAGAGAGAGAGAGAGGGAAAGTGAGAAAGCGAGCCGCCAGGTCTGGGACTCGAACTGTGGTCGACCATGTGGGAGTCGGGCGCCCTTAAACACCACACCACCCGTGGGCCCCACATTATAGCTTTCCACAGCTTAGGAAGCATTTCCACGCTGATTATTGTGTTGTTTCACTTGGCTTTCACAGTGACTCACGTCGTAAAGAAGGTAAGGAGGGCTCAGAAGGAGACTGGCTTGTCCGGATCTCCAGCTAGGTAGAAATAGAGCTGGGATGTGAACCCAAATCCTTCGGCCCTCAAAGAGAATGCGGTGGGGAGAAGGGACTGCAGAACAAACATGATGAAACCTTGAAAAGAAGAGACATGGAGGGGGCCAGCAGGCGGTGTGGAGGTTAGGGCGCTGGGTCCCACGGGCTGGTGTGTAGCTGGAGTTCTGGATCTGGTGCACTGAACATCATGGCGGGTGCACGTGTGTGCCCCCAGTCCTAAGAGAATGGAGAAGGGATTGCAGCGTGAGCATCCCCCCCCCCCACGGTGATGTCTCACTTTCCCTTTCTCTGTCTCTCTCTCTGGCAAGTGCACTTGCCCTAGGACAAAAAAAAGAGTGGGGCTTCAAGGTCGACTTAAGGACTCAGCCTTTAACCTGGAGAATTGAGGCCAGAGGAGTGACTGGATCGGCTTGTGCCGAACGAGGTCACCGCAGCTGCAGTGTAGAAGGTGGATTTGGGGACGAACAGCAGAAGGAGGAAGACCAGGTGGGGGGCCGTTGGCAGTGCAGGCAACGTTGGGCATGGCTTGGAACGGGGAGGGGCGCTGGGCGCTGCGAGGCTGCCCCGTCCTCTGTCCATTGGTGCATTGGGGCCCCCCCTGCCATGGGTTCTGTAAGAGAAAAGCCAAGGGTGGCTGCAGCTTTGGGCCTGAGCTGCGGGCAGAATGGAGCTGCGGGACCTGTGCTGGAAACCTTGTTGCTTCCCTGGCGGGCGGGGAGTGGCGGGGCTGAGGAGGTCACCGGTTTGGAGACAGGTAGAGATATCGAGGGGGCAGTTGGCCTTGGAGAGTGCACGGACACCGTCCACTGGAGGCCGTCAGCGTGTAGACGGTCCTCCGAGCCGTCAGCCTGGGTGTGACCACCAAGGGTGGTCAGAGAAGGACCCAGCATGGAGACTAGGAGCAGCAACAGGAGGTGAGAGGGAAAGCAGAGCCCGTGTCTGAGAGCTGAAAGCACATGAAGAGACAGCAGCCGTGGGGCGTGAGACGGCGCACGAACTGCCCGTGTGACCTCCTCCAGTGGGCGCGTGTGCACACCGACCCTTCGCCGCCCTCAGACTGCCTACCAGCTTTTTCCACGCTTCAAGGTCCCCTAGTAGCCCTCCTCCTCTGCGAGCACTTCCCTCACCTCGGCAGCCACAGCCCACAGTTTTCCCTTCTCCTGCTCCAAGGCTTTGAAGAGCTTCCTTGCAGCCGGAGGATGGAGGAGGACCACGTCCTCTGCAGCGGCATTTCCACTGGCCACCAGCAGGGGGCACAGGAGCAAGCGCCTATGTCAACCACGATGGAGGGAACTTGGAAAGGAGCCGGGAAATTGGAGGCCCTTCCTGTGAGGCCCTTCCTCTGGTCCTCCGCGCTCGCCTGCCTCATCCCTCCTGCCTACGACGGGCTGAGGGGAAATCCTTCTGGTGCTGTCAGGGAGGAATAGGCAGTGGCTCAGAGGGCTGCAGAGGAGCCTGGGGACGACACACGCAGGAAAAGGTGACTGGGCTGACAGTTCATCCACTTCCCCTGCAGTCCTTGGTAGGGTTGGAGGTGAGCCCGGGGCCTGCTTTCAGCCTGCTGTGCTGGCAACAGCCCCTCCCGCCAGCCAGGTTCTGCAGCTACAGGGCCCAGGCCAGCGGCTGGGGACTGGGACAGGAAGGGTACGGTGGGAGCCTGGAGTCCCTGACCCGGGGTGACTCTCAAACGCCTGGGAGCCATGACACACGTGGCACCACTGTGCATGGTGCATCAGGGCCAACCGGGTTCCGTCGGCGGCACCTGCTCCAGGGAGGAGACCTGGGGAAGTGGGCCGGTTGTCTGGGGATGGGAGCCCCTCTGGACGCCCTCTCCCTGGCTGAGCATGACAGACCGGAGTGCAGTGTGAAGGGGGAGGAGAGAGCCACGTTTTGATGGCAGCGTAGACCCCGAGAAAAACGAGGGACTGGTTGGGCAGTTTCTAGGCTGCGGGAGCACCGTCTTCCTGAGCCCAGAAAGTCTGCGTCGGGCCTGAGGTTCCTGTGTGGACACCCCTCAGAAAGCCTGGTCGAAGCATTCCTTTAGAAGTTCTGTTTGTGATGATCTCATCAGGGGAAACCAGGAGTGAAAAAGAGGAGCCAAGTATGTTTTGTGAGAAAGTCCAGTTTTATAAAAACAAACACAAGGTTGTATTCATTAGCAACTGCTAACCACAGAAATGGGAGAAGCCCGTAAGCCAATAAGGAATAAAACCCACATCGGATGTAGGCGCCTTGCGGAGCAGCCCAGGGGACAGAAAGCCCCACGTGGGGACCTGGGAGACAGAGCCACCACACGTCCGGCTTCGTGGCCTGCTTGTCCAGAGCTGGCGTTCCCAGGCTCAGTGACCCAGGCGTGGACCTGGCAGCTGCTCTGTCGCTATTGCCAGGAAATCCCGGGGCCAGCAGATGGCGTAGTGGTTACTAGCCGGACTCTCACGGGACTGACCGCAGTTCGGTCCTGGAACTGGTGTCTTAGAAATCATGCTGGGCATGTGTGTGTGCCCAAGATCCTGGGAGGAGAATGGAGAAGGAATTGCAGTGTGGCCATCACCCCCATGGGATGATTTCTCACTTTTCCTCTCACTGTCTCTGTCTCTGTCTCTGGTGAGCACGTGAATCCTATGACAAAGATCTCTAAAAAAACAAACAAACAGAAAATACCCGAAACTGGGTTATTTAAACTTCCTCCCAACCTACTCTTTGGAGAACCCCTGGCCCTCCAGCAGTGGGACACAGCCTGAGATGGCCACCCAGGATCAGGAGCCCCATCAGCCTGCACCATGAAGAGGACTCGGAGAGGGAGGAGTTGCAAGGGTCACCAGAGACAGAGACAGGGTGGAGGTAGGTAGTGGAGGGCGGGAAGGGAAGAGGGGGGACATTTCTGCTGGGCAGCTTCATGCAGGCCTGGCCACAGGTATCTTGTATTATGTGGTGCGTGTCGGGTTGTGGGTAGCAGGGTGTTCCTGGACGATCCTCCTGGGACGGCCAGTTCCTCTCTTCCTGGTGGCCGCTCCTGTTACTTCGCCTGCCAGATGCTTCCAGCTGGAAGTATATGATCTAGACACAGGAAGCGTTTCCAAGGCGCAGGTCCCAGGAAGACAACTGAGAGCAGCAGCCTGCAGTGGGCGCTGTGCACCAGCCCCTCCCGCACTGGCGTCGGGCCTTTGGGGACCACGTGGTGGCCTTGGTCTGGGCTGGGTGGGAGGGCTCCAGCTGGCAGCCCAGCCCAGAGAGCCCTTTATGAGTGGGCAGGGCGGGGTGCTGGGGTGGCCTCTGCCAAGATATCAAGGACTCGAGGCCTGAAAACGCAAACAGCTCTGTGGAGGGAAGCCCGCGCCAAGCTATTGGCTACGTGTCACGGGGATCCTTGAGAATACGCCCAGATGGGGCCTTAACCCCTGGCACTGCCAAGATTTGATCTTTGTTTCTAATGGAAACAGGATGAATAGATTCTGAACATCATTCTAAGGCGAGGCATCCGATATCTCTAAGCAGCTTTCTGAAAGATGGGTGGCTTAGCTGCTCTGCAGAGCCAGAAGCATCTGCATGACCCTCACTTTAAAATAGGTTGAGGAGGAGCCAGCGGGTGGCATAGTGGTTGAGGCTCTGGACTCCCACATGGCTAACCACGGTTTGAGTCCTGGACACTGCAGCTTGAAATTCATGCTGTGTGTGTGCATGTGTAAGCATGCCCAAGATCCCAGAAGGAGACTAGAGGGGGAGGGATTATAGCTTGGCCTTTTCCCCTGGGGAGTGATTTCTCACTTTTTCTTTGTGTTCCAGTGAGCATCTTCCATATAGCAAAAAATTTATCTCTCTAAAAACAAAAAGGTAGGTTAAGGAACCCCCTTTGCTGATTTGGTGGATTTAAGTAGAGGAGGGAGCTGTTCTTTTCTGTGTAAAGAGAAGTTGCCAGTTAATTTCATGATGAATTCATCATTTCTGCCCTGGGGAAAGTAATGAGAGGTATTTGGGCTAGTCCCATAGCCTAGTGGTTAAGGGAGCTGGATCTCAAACGGCTGACCACAGTTCAAAACCCTAGCCCCAGTGGCTTGAAAACGCATCAGTTGAGAGTGTGTGCAACCCCAAAATCCCAGCAGGAAGGAGACAAGGAGGAGAAGGGATTGCAATATGATCCCCCAGCAGTGGGGTGCTTCGTCTCTGTTCCTCTCTAGTGAGTGCATGTGCTCTCTGGCGATTGAAACAAAAGAGGGGGCCAGCTGGTGATGTGATTAACACACCTGTGTCCCGCATGGCTGAATGCATGGTTCAAGTCCTGGATCTGGGCTTGAAAAACGCCCTGGACACATGTGCGTGTGAGCCCCACACCCCAGCAGGATGGAGAGATGGAGGAGAGGATTGTGATGTGGCCATCCCCTATGGGGGGTGCTCTCTCACGTTCCCTCTCTGTCTCTGGCAAGCACGCGTGCCCTCTAGCAAATTAAAAAACAGATAAACGAACAGGTATTTTATCGTACAGATGTGTGGACCTTACCATGCTAATTCAGTCTCCCGTGGATGGACACTTGAGTCACTTTCATCTTTTGGCTGGGACGAACGGGAGTGTACAAAGGGCTCTCTGAGACCCTGCTTTCAATTTTGGGGTGTGGGGGTATACCCAGAAGTGTTACTACTGGATCGTATGGTAATTCTATTTCTCGGTTCTTGAGGGCCCGCCGTCCAGTTCCCATGCCAACTTTGATGGCAGCACTTCATTTGAAGGGGCACGTCCCGGTCTTCCGGCCAGCAGCGGTGTCCTCCAGGGAGTTCCTTCATCTATGAGTCTTAATTTCCTTATCTGCACAAATGAGGGTATTCACGGCATTCACCTACGGGACTGTGAGATAAAATGGGGACGAGCTTACAGCAGTGGTGACGGGTCCAGACACGCACACCTGTGCTTCCTAAGCCCTCCCGATCCTGGAGAGGTCACCTGGGGTGGCCTTGGCTGCGGGATGACGCTGGAGTCCCTTCTTCCTGCGCCTCGGTTCTCTGCTCTGTAAAATGGGAATAGCGAGGCCTACCTGCGCTTGGTGAGGGCCCAGAGGCAGGGGCAGGGCCCAGACACTGGCACCAGCCGTTCCAGTCTGTGTGACATGCCCCCATCCAAGACAGGGGCGGGAGGGATGCGCCTGACCCCCATCTCCTCCCAGGCGGGGGCTAGGCCTTGCGAGGACAGGACCCAAGGCCACCGCTGTCATCCGACCTGCTCCCCTTTGGCGCCTGGCCTGGCCAGCAGCCTGGGATGGGGCTGGGAGCAGGGCTGGCCGGGTGGCCGTGGGCGGAAGGATAGAAAGGAAAAGCCGCTCAGTGGAAATTGCCCTGTGGTTGGCTCAGGCGCCCACGGCACGGTATTTATAGAGTTCCCTGCGGCTCTTCATTCCTGGCACTCGAGTTAACCCTTTCCAGGCCACCGTGCCAACCTGGCGTCGACGGAGAATGCAGGAACACAGGACTAGGGCGGACGGCGGATTCCGGCTCGGCTCGGTCTCCAGCAGCTTGGCGGGTGCGAGTGGTCAGTGACCAGTCACCTGTCCCCTCTCAGAAGAGAAACGTGGGCTCTTGGAGGGGAGTCAGGGAGGGGGATGGGCGGCAGGAAGACCAGCGCCCCCTTCCCGGGCGAAGGGTCCTCGCAGCCTGCTCCGGACCGGGGTGGGGCGGGGTCCAGCAGGGTGTCCTGCCCAGCGGGCGGCTCAGGCCTCTGCCCGAAACCGCCGCCGCGGGGCCGA